GAGTGAGTTTCCTTGCTTTCCGTTTGTTCTTTCTTTCCACTTTTCTTTGAAACAACTAACTTCAAAGTCATGAATATAATCTGCAAGGTTCCACTTGGACATTTGGATTTATAAGATGTAGGATTTGTATCCCTCATTTTAAATTCATATGTAGTCAAAATGGAATAAAATGTGTGGAAGGTGAGATTTCAAATCTAAGAGTTTTAGTTATATTGTATGTGACATGTCCAATAGAAATGGTAAATATGGAAGGTGAGATTTTAAATCAAAGAATTTTGTTGGTTTAAGGAAATGTTAACCATTTTAATTGCAATGGTCCCTGAGTATGTAACTAAGTTTCATTTTGGATGTCAAAGTGGCCGTCAAAATAGGTAGGTTGTTTGAGTGGTGATTAATTTGTACATGAATTGACAGTTCTACACATTAAATTGATGGCCGACACAATTGGAGGACGTCAAAAGTTCAAACTTGAATTGAAAGACCAAAATAAAACTCGAGTACAAGTTCAAGGACCATAGCAGTTAAAAATTCATTAACAACATATATGCATTTGTATAGTTTCAATAGAACTTCAATTTCAACCGTACATGGTTTCTAATCATTTCAAATTATGTTGTCCCTTCTCTTTTAAGTCCTTTCAATTGCAATGTCCTAGTCATATACTATTATTTTAGGGAGCTGATTTCCCCGCTCCCTTTTTCTCCACTTACACTCCTTTTTGCTTTTTTAATACTTTTTAATCAATTTTATTCTTTCTCTTTCCTATTCTATCCTTACCCTACATTAGTTTCTTTTTTACTTCACTTTTATATTATTTCTTTTTCTTTGTACTTAATTTTTCAACTTACACTCCATTTTCAGTATTAAAGGGGAAAAAAAAAACTTAATTTCTTACTCGATTAAAGGAAAAAAAATACTGAAAATGGAGTGCAAGTTGGAAAATTAAGTATTTTTTTTTTAAAAAACTAATATAAAAGTGAAGTAAAATGAAATTATTGTAGGGTAAGGGAAGAATAAGAAAGAGAAAGAACAAAATTGATTAAAAAGTATTAAAAAGCAAAAGGGAGTGTAAATGGAGAAAAGAAGAGTGGGGAAATTATATCCCTTGTTTTATCTGTGTTCATGTGTCACATGTGTGACCGTGCTTTATATAAAAGTGCTTCCTTACATTGTTTCTGACCTTTGTACTTTCTGATTGCAGGCTTGAACTAGTCAATCCGGGATGTGGAGTGAAATACTTACCTCATACAACTCCTAGAGACAATTGCCTTGCAAAAATTAAGAAGCTTCCATCGCCATCTGCATAACCTGAAAATATAAGGCCAAAACTTGCTTCCTTCGGTATAATAATAAATATTTACTCGTGGAGCTCGTTACTTTTTTATTTATGGGATGTAAACTTGCTTCATTTAATTCATGGATGGTGTATTCTAGGATTGTGTTTGTTAATTGAGGTAAAGAAATGAGTTTGATCTTCTCTCTCTCTGTTTTTTTTTTCTTTTTTGGTGAATGCTTTCTTTCTTTTGATAAATGCAAATTACTTAAATTTTACTTTTCCAAGTTGGCTTGAGCGGATGTGCTCCCACTCTACACCCGATTTCATATCTCCCTTCTCGTAGTTTGGATTAACTTAAAATAGAATATCATATGTATCAAAATAAAAATAATAATAAATAAATAACTCGTGTTACATTTTTAGTGGCACTTGTTCTCAATGGTTGTTTACAAAAGCAGAAATATTTCTTCTCATTTAATTAATAAGAAGGTAGGGTATAGTAAGCTAATATAGGGGATCACTTTTTCGTTTTATAATCTTAATTACATAGTATGGTCAAATTCTGTGTGTGCATGATCCTTTTAGGTTTATTCATAATTTCTTTGTTGTCATTCGAAGATGCTGTTGAGAGATGCTTTGGTATTTCAGAAAGCATAAGGTCAAATTCTACATGCAAAACCCAAAATTGAGACAAAATGTCTACTAAGATAAAAGGTTGGTGTTAGCTCCATCAGTCACTTGTCTAAAAGCCTGTAAATCCAAGTAATGTGGAAAATGGAATTGGGTTTCTGGAGTTTGGTTTTCACAGCTTCAATTGGTGGGTTTGGTGCTTTGCTTTTGATCCTAAGGAGAGCAAATGAGTGGTATTTTGTGAGCAGATTGGGAGAAAGGCAGAAGACTCTGCCTCCAGGTGACATGGGCTGGCCTTTCCTTGGCAACACCTTGTCTTTCCTCAAGGCTTTAAAATCTGATGATCCTGATTCTTTCATCTCCAACTATGTCAAAAGGTCTCTCTCTCTCTCTCTCTCTCTCTCTCTCTCTCTCATTGTAACTCAAAGTTGAAACTATCTGATGAGAAATATATGCTAAACTTTTCTGTTGGTACCAGGTATGGCAGCACAGGAATTTACAAGGCCTATTTGTTTGGAAAGCCAACCATAATTGTTACAGCACCTGAAACATGTAGGCAGGTCTTGATGGATAGTTTACAATTTAAGACTGGTTGGCCAAAATCAACTTCCGATTTAATGGGAAGGAAATCATTTATGAGCCTTTCTGAAGGGGAACACAAACGCCTTCGCAGGCTGACCGCAGCCCCGATCAGCGGTCACAAGGCATTGGCTATGTACCATGAGTACATTAAGGATGCCATAGTAAGTTCATTGGATGAATTGGCCAAAGCAGAGAGGCCTATTGAGTTCTTGACTGAGATTAGGAAGATAACTTTTAAAATAATCATGTTTATTTTCCTGAGCTGTGAGACTGGTCCAATGATGGAGACCATGGAGAAAGAATATGCTATTCTCAATCATGGACTAAGAGCCATGGCCATAAACCTTCCCGGCTTTGCTTTTCATAAAGCGCTCAAGGTCAGATTATACTATTTAGATTTCTTCATTTGAGTTCATTTCTTTTTTTCCTTTCAAACTGGACTTGATAATGACATTCTTGCATGTATCAGGCTAGGAAAAAGATGGCTATGATTATTCAAGATGTTGTAGATGGAAGAAGGGCAAGAAGAGCGAATAATCTATCACGGGAAAGAACAGATTTGATGGATTTGTTAATAGAAGTTGAAGATGAGAATGGTAAAACATTAGATGATGAGGAGATAATAGACATAATTCTCATGTACTTGAATGCTGGATATGAATCTACAGCCCATGCCACTTTGTGGTCTACTCTCTTCTTAAACGAACATCCAGAATACTACCAAAAAGCCAAGGTGGGTGCTATCAATACTGGTTTGATGCATTTGAACATACTTACTAGTCTTCATGCTGCAGAACTAAAAATTGTCTTCCATTTTTTTGGTTAAATTTTCCCGGTTTCGTTTCAAATTTTTGGAAGCCAATTTGTAGATGTTATAATGTTTCAGGCAGAGCAAGTGGAGATTCTTAAAAGGGAATCATCACCAGAAGAGGGATTGAACTTTAAAGGAACTAAACAGATGGAATACCTATCTAAGGTATGTTTTCTGCGTCTAATTTTAACACCCTGAGGATATTTTATGTTATAGCAAATGCTTACTCTTTTCTTTTGGGGATTGCAAAATATTGATTTATCATCATAAGTACAAGAAGTACTATTGAATCCTAGAAATAATTCTAGGTACAATGCAAACTCTTGCTCAAAGTGAGACTACTAATTTCAAATGCTGCACAAAGGAAGGGTGATTTATTTTCCTTTGATACCCAAATCTTGCCCTCAGATTTGAACTTTAACTATCCATGCAGCTAATAGAAATTGGAGTAACATATTTTGACAATAGGTAATCGACGAAACACTGCGCATGGTTAACGTCTCATTGTATGGCTATCGGGAGGCTGCAACTGATGCGAACGTCTCTGGTAAATTTCTCTACTTCCTCCTTTTCTTGTTTCATCAGTTTCTTGTACAGAAGAAAACTTACTACAACATGCTGTGCCTCCAAGGTTACACAATACCAAAGGGCTGGAAAGTAATGATGTGGTACAGAGGTGTTCATTTGAACCCAGAGTATTATCCGGATCCAAAGGAGTTTAATCCCTCAAGATGGAATGTAAGCAAGAAAATGCCCAAAATTTAATGTAATTTTTAATAGCATATGTATGTGATACAAGATGTGGCATTTTTTACTGTTTATTTTGTTTTTGTAGGAAAATAAAGGCAAGGCAGGGACTTTCATTCCCTTTGGAATAGGAAGTAGGCTATGCCCTGGAAGTGATTTGACCAAGCTTGAAATTTCTATATTTCTTCACTATTTTCTCCTTTATTATGAGTGAGTTTCCTTGCTTTCCATTTGTTCTTTCTTTCCATTTTTCTTCGAAACAACTAATTTCAAAGTCATGAATATAATCTGTAAGGTTCCATTTGGACATTTGGATTTATAAGATGTAGGATTTGAATCCTCATTTTAAATTCGTAGGTCCAAATGGAATGACTTGTGTGAAAGGTGAGATTTCAAATCAAAGAGTTTTATTGTATTGTAAATTTGGTTTAAGAAAATGTTAACAGTAGGGGTTTTAATAGCACTGGTCCCTGAATTTGTAACTAATTTATCTATGTTCATCATACTAGTTTATCTATGTTCATTTGTCACAGTGACAGTGCTGTATATAAAAATGACCTTACATTTGGATGGCAAAAAACGAAATGCTTGTTAATCTGTAAATATAATAGATAGTCTTTGACCTTTGAAGTTTTCGAGTGCAGGCTTGAACGACTCAATCCGGCATGTGGAGTGAGATACTTACCTCATACAAGTCCCAAAGACAATTGCCTTGCAAAAATTAAGAAGCTTCCATCGTCATCAGTATAACCTGAAAAATAATGGATATTTTTCTCCGTTTTTGCCCCTTTGGAATAGTGAAGGACAAGTTTAGACTTTGCGTTTATTTGTCTTTCATTAGATTTGAACTCGAGACCTACTTCAAAACAATGGATATTCAGTGTCACTAAATCAAATAGTTATTTGCCATATAGTGTGAGAAAGGAGACGACTAATAGCCATCGATGTGAAATGAACCTTAATTCTTTTTTTTTTCTTTTTCTTTTTTTTGTCCAAAAACATTCGTATGAACCTTAATTCACATGAAAGTACAGACAAAAGGTGGAGAGATGATACATAGTACAACAGAAAGGGACATAATTAAGCAAAGCAAATTGAACCTAGAGCCCGGAGTACTTTCATAATATGACAACTTCTTATCAAACATCAAACCTTAAACAGCTGAAAACCAGTTAGTTCAAGATCATTGGGACCAGCATGTTCAAATTCTAGTGGGCAGCATCTTCTTCCTCGCAAAACTTCGTGTATTCTTTAGCACCCAACAAGGATTCTAATTCTGATGGATTGCTGGGCTTAATCTTGATCATCCATCCATCTTCATATGGGCTTGAATTGATCTTCAACATAGAACACACCCAAAGAAAGTTAAATTTGTTAAGTAAATAAAAACTGTGTACTTGTTTACAGTTTAAATAATGACATAGGTTCAAATTAACGGTTTAACAATATAACATGTCAAACTATCTGATAGTACGCAACCGGTCAATTATAACATGCATTTGAAAGAAGGGTAGCTTTGTTTTGGTAAAAAGTGTAAAGGTGGAAAGGAAGATTAATTACCAAACCAGGTGATTCAGTAAGCTTTGAGTTAACCTCAACAACATCACCAGAAATTGGGGAATTTACATCACTGGTTGCTTTGACACTCTCGACAGCTCCAAAGCCGACACCTGCAGAGACTGAGCGACCAGCTTCTGGCAGCTCAACAAACACAACTTCTCCAAGATGGTCCTGAAACAAAACTTCACCTACATCACTCACTCTCTGGGCTATTTCAAACTTCAGGTCCAATAGGGAATTTTTTGGACCAAATTAACTTCTTTTTTCTTTTCTTTTTTTCACAGACAAAGTGGAAATGGAGATGTGTATATTATTTATTATTAACCTGAGCATGATCAGTGATACCAATTGTTGCAACTGAGCCTTCATGCTTCACCCACTCATGTGAAGATGCATACTTCAACCCTTCCAGAACTGCAAAATCCAACATCACTCCCAAAAATTACAATTCTTTTCAACTTAGCAGCAATAACAAATAAATAATAAAAAATAAATCCAAATCATTTGCATAACTTTTAAAACTTGAATGTTACCCAAACCACTAACGAAGAACATTGGGACCAAAATACAGCATTAAAAATGAAAAATATGCATGCATTGGTGAAAAGCTGGGCCATTCTATAATCTGTAACCCTACAAACTGCTGAATGTGTCACTGATAAACAGAGTACACAATCATAGGTGCAAATACACAGCAAATCCAATGCATACAATCTCCAGCTCAGCAATATTCTAGAAGAGAAGGAACTTACTAGTCATATATCCATCCTACACCTGTCATCATCTCCATATTCTTTGTAACCAATTCTATTCCAGATTATTCTTTTCAAGTGTATATAAACAGTGGTATTCTCACTGTACAAGTATGAATGAAATATACAATTCCAACCTTTCTTTTACTCTGTTCTTAATTCTTCACAGTCACCAGTTCATACAAATGTAAAAGAAACTAAGAACCCATTAACTTGAAATAGAGTATTAAGTTGAAGAGAGGAGTGTTTATTACCAGAAGAAAAGCATCTGGAAAAAGAAAATGCAGGGGAGAGGTGGGCTTTGGAGGCACTAGAGATTCTGAGTGCATTGGCTGTAGAAGAAGCCCACATTCTCAGTGCCATATTTCTCTGCCTGCGTTATCTCTATGTGTATGTCTGGTTATCTCTCAAACTCCAAGGCTAATATCAAAATAAGAAGGGCGCAGTTTGGAGATGTCGTTTTATCTTGGATGGATGGTTGGCAGCAAAAGCCTCATCCTAATAAGAGTGAGAATACACACAGACCCAGTTTTTTTTTTTTTTTTTTTTAATTTAAATTATATTTATTTCTATTAATATTTTGTTTTGTGAATATATCAACCTGTTTTAAAAGTGAGACTAACATCATTCATTACTGTATATCTAAATTGAAATTTGAGAACTTCATTTCTTATCTATTTAAAGAAATTTAGAAAAAAGTTTTATCTCATGTACTATTTCCCAGAGTACTGTTCACAGGCTTAAGTGGGCTATAGCCCAGTGCAAAATCTATAGAAAACTAAAGGGGGCCCAAATTTTACAAGCTATTTCTACTCTCCAAAAATTTTAGCCTACCCAACTTGCCTTTGTTTAATTTTTTTTCTTTTGCCAAACGTTGTAACTTGCCTTTGTTTAATGTTAAAGCAACTCCACCCATTTGCCATGGCAAAAGGCAAGGGGGCTAGGGCACTTACTATTCACGTGAATAGTGGCTGTCCTTACAAAAAAATAATGTGTGTTTCCACCCGTTGCCATGGCACAAGGCAAATACTATTCATTTTTCATTTTTTTAACCTAAACAATATTTTCGGATAAGATTTTTGGGTTTGTACGTGTCAATATTTATTATAAAATTCATATCTCATAATCGGATAAAATTTTCGGATAAGATTTTCGTTTTCAAAATTCAAATTTCATATCAATTTCAAAATTCAAATTTCATATCAATTTCAAATTTTAGATCAATTTCAAATTTCAGATAAGATTTTCACCCTCTAAAATCGCGCCACATGTCATCTCTATTTGCCTAAATTTTTCTATAAAACCAAAAGCTCAATTGATACCTATCACACTAGATCTTCTCTATATTTTCATTTCTCATATTTTAGAATTCATACTCCATTCTCAATGTCAGACATGAGGAGATGCTTGGAGAGGCAAGAGCGAGAAACTAATGAAAGAAAGCATAGACGAGCTGAAGGCAAAAGGGTGCAGAGAGAACAAGATCAACAAGTTGCCATAACAGTGGCTTTGCTTGATGAAGAAAACCAAGGCCGCCGCCTTGATTCACAAGTCGGTCGTGACCCGAATGTGGACAGACATAGGCATTCTCGGGGTAAAAATCTTTTGGAAGATTATTTTATTCCAACTTCTTCCGGAGCAAAAGCTTACAGCTGTTATATGAATGTTGGTGTATGGTTCATCTGTTGATTAAGTGGATGAGATTACCCAAATAGGGAAGTCCACTACTTTGGAGAGCTTGGTAAGATTTTGTGATGCAGTCGACACTCTGTGCACTAGGAACTACCTGCATAGACCTACGTCCAAGGACCTCTAACAACTTCTACAAAAAGCAGAAACTTGAGGATTTCTAGGAATGATTGGTAGCATCGACAGCATGCACTAGTAATGGAAGAATTGCCCAACTGCCTGGCAAGGAGATTATGGAAATAGGAAAGGGCAAAAAAGTATCATCCTTGAAGCCATTGCTGGATTCGATACATGGGTTTGGTATGCCTTCTTTGGAGTTATAGGATCTCAAAACGACTTGAATGTGCTGGGTCAATCCCCAGTTTTCAACGATGTATTGAAAGGTGAAGCCTTAAACATCACCTATGAAATCAACAATACCGTCTACTAGAATGGGTATTATCTAGCAGATGGCATCTACCTGAGGTGGACCATATTTGTGAAATCAATTTCGAATCCCGGATCCCATAAGCAAAAATTATTTGCTGCCTATCAAAGGATACATGAAAGATGTCGAAAGGTGTTTTAGCATCCTCCAACCTTGGTGGTTAATTATTAGAGGTAATGTGCGTATGTTTGATGAAGAGGTGTTGAGGAGCATTATGATGACTTGCATCATCCTCCATAATATGATTGTGGAGGATGAGTATGATTACGTTGCTGCAGACGTGTGTGAACTGGATCCCATGAACACAACCTTGACAAGAATTTATGAAAGGCTCGTGGGCCCAAGTGGAGAACCATTGGAGAATGAACCGTTGGTTAGGGACGGTCGTTTCATGACCCGTATGATTGATTGATATACGGATATGCAATCATCTTATATTCATGAACAACGTCAAGTTGACTTGATGGAGCATATATGGGCGGTGAAAGGCAATGACAGTGAATGAAGTGAAGTTTTAATTTGGCTTTGGGTTGATGTTTTTTATTTATTTATGCTTTGGTTATGTTTTATTTTTAGTTATGGTTTGGTTTGGTTTTTTTATTTATTATGCTTTGGTTGTGGTTTTTCCTTTTAATTATGTTTTGTTTGATATATGGAATATGTTGAATAAAAAGGTATTTTATTGAATACTTTGTTTATTAAATAAAGAAAGCCAATACAAGTCATTAAGAATTACTACTATACTGGAAATGCAAGTAACATTACAAAAATATTGAAAATGCAAGAAACATAAAATTTAAAAATAAAAAAAAGTATTGGAAATGCAAGAAACATAAAAATAAAAATAAAAATTATTGGAAATGCAAGAAAATAAAAATAATAAAAATTTTGGACATTACATTTAATAAAATGGAAATTACAAATAATTTACCTCCTCGCTAAGATTTTCACCGCTTCGAATATTGTCCCTCGCTTTTGCTAATGCATCTATCCATTTCCCCAACTCTTTATTCAATATTTTCCACCTACTACTCAATGTCATTTCCGTATGACTAGAACCCGATCTTTCACAAAATTCGGCATGGATTTTTCTCCACATGTGAGAGAATTTCATCTCATTGCCTGTGATCAGACAATGACTAATATGGACCCAACTCTCACACAAGAGAACATCTTCCATGGTTACCCACGTGCCTCCGGCTTCGATGGAAGATGCCATGAGATGGTGAATAAAAATGAAAATTGGAAGTGATGAAAATTTTGTGTAGAAAGTGAAAAACAATAGAATTTATGAAATTGTATGAGGATTTGGTGTTGAAAGTGAAGAAGAATGGTAGGTATTTATAGGGAAAAACTTTAAAAAAATTTGGTAATTTTTTAAAAATAATTCACATTTTTTTTGCCCAAAAAAAGCCCAACCGTTGGATTTGAAAAAAAAAAAAAAAAAAAAAGCATCAGCGAGACCAGAAAGCGACACCTGTCAAGTTACCGTTGGTAGATGTCAGCATTGACATCGATGCGTGGTAGTTCAAATTTTTTTTAACGTTGACGCTTGCAACGCACATGTCAAAAAATTAAAAAAAAAAAAAAAAAAAAAAGAATTGTCGTGTGTGACATCACCCTGCCTCGGGCTGGATCTTGGGCTACTTCCCCCCACGAGCTGGCCCTATCGCGTGGGACCCGGGCCTTGCCCGGGCTATCTTGGCCTGCTGGAACGCACTGCCTAGGCTCAAGCCCTGTCCTGGCCAGGCTTGGGTTTGTTGCTAGAGTTGCTCTTACCCCAACTTTTTTGGGTTGACTCTAATATAATATGCTAATATAAAAAAAATTACATATTGTTATTTAATAATATATCTTCACCCCACTTGCATTCTCTTTGCCTACTTACCTTTTTTTTTTATTGTCAAATTTTACCAATTAACCTTAAACCCTATTCTTTGGCTTTTGTTTGGCCTAACAAAACAACCCTTTATTTTCTTTTCTCTCAACCACAAAAAAGTATGTCATATCTCTTTGAACTTTTATCAAGAGGCAATGTCATATCTCTTTGAACTTTTATCAAGAGGCAATAAAGAATCATAGGTGTTTTTACTTTATTTCCTCTCAAGGTAAACTTGATTGTAGTTTTCAATCTATTTGCTTATGTTGTGTATTTACTAAAGAATGAGATTCTAAATATTTGGGTTTATATTATATATACCAAGACCTACCCAATAAAACGTAAACAGGGGGCAATAGAACTGGTGAAGTCCTTGGGGGTCCCGGGTAGGCTTGCCTTGCAAGACTGGTTTCAAAGCTGCATGCTTTGATTTTCTTATACGATCTAGAAAGTAGAAATTGATCACAAGTCCTTTGACCTACGACCTACTTCTTTTTTAATACCAAAAAGTATTCTTGATTTCGTATTGGAGGTCCTAGATTACGTCTATAAATACTTGACCAAAAAAAAAAAAAAAAGAAGAAAAGATTGCATGCAATGCCTTTGAGACTTTGAGTGCACGTTTTGTGTGGCTATAGATTGTAGTCCATACTCAAACTAACTTATAAATTAGTAAATTAATATGTAATATGATTTTGACCAATAGCTACGCATACTTGATGATACATCAAAAATTACTCTAAGAAACTTAATTATCATACATCAAATCATGATGTGTGGCTATGCATGCACTTTCTCCGTTCGTCAATTAAATTTTTATTATTATTTTTAGGGTAAACTACAGTAAACCTCTCAACTTATAGGGTCATTTACAAGTTCATACCTGATTTTGGGGACATTTACGAGTACATATTCAATGTCACGAAAAACCTAGAAATTGCCCTCCGTTAGCGATAACCGTCAGGAAATCTGTTATCTGCATACGTAGCGTCTAGCCTTCTGTAATTCAGAAAATCTGTTAAGGGAATTTTCGGCATCTCATGTCCCTGGGTTTCGCGCTCGAAACAACACGTGGCCTTCTGTAATTCAAAACAAAAAACAAAAAACCCCCGAATTGAGTTCCAGAAACTCGTCGTCCACAACCCCCCTCACCCAAATCGATTCCCCCCCCCCCCCCAAATTGAAACTGATTCCACAAATTGAAACCTAATCCCTATTTCACATCGATCGAAAGCACAAAGAAGGCTAGGTTGCTGTAATTCGAGATGTCGTGGGGTATTCGTCCTCGTGGTTGTCGTGCTCCTCGTAACTGTAAGTTGAAGGCAGTTTTAATACGTCTTGCTTTTTGGTTTCCTCATAAAGGGTTAGATGCCTACGATTTGATTTTGTCTGAACCTTTCATTTGCTTTGAAGTGTGCTTGAGAGTGATATTTGTGGTCTATGGTCCATTTTTGTCGTTGTGTTGTTGGAAAAGCACAAAAAAAAAAGCACTTTTTTTTCTTCAAACCAAACTGCTTTCGATTCCAGACAGTATTTAGTGGTCCAAAAACTCTGCATTT